ACCACAATGAAGACCTTAAAACACTATACCGTAAATAACCTTGTGAACCGGAAAGAAATAATAATAAAAATAATATCATTGACCTGAAAACAACTTGTGCATTCTTTTAGAGGTCCCTTATGCTACCAAACCCTTTGCTCTTTTCTTGCCTGCAGACAAGAATGATGACTGTGATACACTTGTGCATTAGGTACCAATTCTCTCTTGTGCTTTTGAAAAAAAAAGATACATTAACAATGCATTTCCTTAAAAACTATACTATTCAACAACAATTTGCCCTTTTGTAGGTGCTTGTTGTAACAACACTCAAACTGCATCAACAAGGAATGGGTGGAAGTCTGTTTATTCCCTCCCACCAAATAATGCTGCTCCAATTTCTCCTGCCCTACCTTTACCTCCCTTGGAAACCCCAATTTTTCCCTTAACCCAATAATGACAGATAAAAGTTTCAGCAAAGTCTGTTGAGGATGGGTGTGCATTAGTGTACACCACTTCACACCTGGGCGACTGTCCAGTTTGAAGTCTGGCACACAATCTTGGTGGTCAAAGCATAGACTCAGGACATGAGGTGTCATCCAGCATCTATGATTATTCACTATGATGTGATATTACATTACCTGTCACAAATGGGTTAATCTTACTTAAGAGTTGTCCCACTTAAACACACATTTCTTTTATCTTTATAACTACCACCAGGTAAAAATGAAATGCTCTTCATGGACAGTTTGGCTTTATGTCACACTGTGTTGTGTGATCTTGAGCTTGAGGACAGAAAAGGAAAAGAGATAAGGGAGGGAAAAGTGGCAAGGGAAGAAGTCAGATGGATGGAATAAGGGAGGTGGAAAAGAAAAGGGAAGAAGGTATAGATAGAATAAGGGAAGAGAGTCACATAATTAACAGCAGGGTAGGAAGAGGGGAAAAAGAGAGAAAAAAATGGAAAGAAAGGGGTAACAGAGAGATAAAACAAAGAACAATGGCAAGAGACAGAGGGAGACAGCATGACAAAACCCATATGATAAAACACACAGAGCAATGCCATATTCACCCTTCACAACACACGCACACACATTTAAGAGAGCTGTTACATCTAGCTTCATTTCTCATTCACTGCCATCACCCTCCTCCCTTTCTGGCTGTGGTTCCTCACCCGCTGGGGCCTCCTGGAGAAGGTACTCGGGGTAATCATTATACTTATCACTCCGACCCATTACCCTCTCCACTGGGTACTTCTCTGCGTTCTTAACCATCTTCTCTTTCACCGCCCGAGGCAGATCAATCTCACACTGTTCTGCCAAATCCACCAGGTATATCAGAATGTCACTGAGCTCTTCTCCCACGCGGGTTTTCTCGTGTGCTGAGAAGTCTGGAAGTCCTCTTGTCACCTGCAGAGAGAAAGGCAGGATAGGATAGTAAAATTGCAGGGAGTCCTGATACATGTATAAATTCATTAAATGTATCCAAAATCAGTTACGACAAGAATGAAGGGATAACTAGCATTGTCTGGGGCGAATAAGTATGTGTATTCCATCAACATTAGCTGAGAAGAACAGGACTGATTTGCTAATCTATAATGAATTATTGTGCATACTATTCACATTAACTGAATGGAGAGTTGGTGGATTAATTGCATACTGCTTGTGTAGAATGGGTTGAAGTAATAAATCCATTCCATTATCATTAACTATACAAGAGTAAGCTAACTGCTAGTGTAATCAGGAATCAATTATTCTGTTTCTTTCATTACAGAGATAGTGTTTGTGTGGTTTGATAGGATTCTTTGTGCATTTTCTGAACAGGCGGGGAGGATGCAACTGAACCGCCTATACCATCTAGTGTCAACCATTCCATGTATATCATTCACACATCAACTAAGATACACACACACTCACACACACACACACACACACACACACACACACACAAAGGCATCATATTACAAATCTATTAGAGCACTATTCAAACTACTATTATTATCACCATCATGATTCTTATGGTTTTTATTATCATTATTATTATTATCATTATTATTATCATTATTATTATTATTATTATTATCATTATTATTTTTTAATATTATTCTCATTACCATTATCATTATTTTCATCATCAACATTATTATTACTATCATTATCCTCATTATCATTAGTAGTAGTAGTAGTAGTAGTAGTAGTAGTAGTAGTAGTAGTAGTATCATTATTATTATTATTAACTTTATTGTCACTATTATAATCACCATCATTATCATCATCATCAAAATTATCATACTCATTATCATTATCATTATGTGGCAAGCAAACAGCCAACAAATTCCTGTATTCAAAATGGCACCTGCCCTCAGGCGATACTCCCACACAATTTCTTTCCCTTAGGATGTCCAGTGACAGCTCTGAGACGAGGAACAGTATGGTGACCTCAGCCCCTGACCTAGGCAGACCCAGCAAAACACGACCTTCTGCTATTCCATGAACAATATAAGCCAACACTTGGCCTATGGCCCAGG